TGACGCTGCCCCAGACATCCCTCCAGAGACACATCCGCCGATAACGCCGTTCACTTTTCGACCACAGTTACCAGCAGCACCGCCACCTACGACAACGGACGACCCTGTACGACCTCCCACCCTACAACCCCAGTTACCAGCTGCACCACCATCTGATCCTACGACGACGAACGATCGATCCAGTGCGACATCCCACCCTACGACTCCAGTTAGATGACATCAGCGAAGAGGAGGAAGTTAACTTTGAGGGTTATACAACGCGAGCAGGGCGTACAATTCACCGACCAGCTAAGTTCCTTGATCAAGTGTTTTTTCCTTTCATCCCCTGGGAGGGGAAATTCTGTAGTGAGTAGATTATCCCAATAATATACTCGCTCCAAACGCATTAGCCTAATGAGAGAAGCAAAGCTCTTCTTAGTACTAGTCATGGAACTCAAACCTTTCCCTACTTCCAGTTAATATTCCTGTCAACCTTTGGAGAACAATGAGGTGTTGCCCGAGCATATAAGCAGCAGAGTAGCGAATAATAACTCACGAGGCTAACCATACCCCGCGCTACTTGGCCCGATCCTGTGCCACGTAACTCCACTACGGGCTCACCATAGCCCGTGCTACTTGGGAATTATGTTCCAAGTAGCTGAATCTAAAACAACAGAATAATAACTGACGGGAGACATTTCCCGTCATGCAGGGTGCAGCCGCACCTCCACAGATCTCCAGTATCATCTATTGATACTGGTAATGGCTCAAAAGGGCCACCACTTAAGGGCTATTCATGTCCGTGCCACCTTTTGGGTGGCTTAATCTTCATCGATCAATTGAATAATAACTCAGCACCGCTCCTGTGCCAGGTAAGTCCACTACGGGCTCACCATAGCCCTTGCTACTTGCCCCGCTCCTGTGCCAGGTAAGTTACGGGCTCACCATAGCCTGTGCTACTTGGAACTTGTTCCGAGTAGCTGAATCTATAACAACAACAACAAAAATAACTAGTCTACTTTCAAAGCTATTGCTTTGAGCTATTGGGCATTTATCTAGCCACTGAATACCTTAAGCTCAGTGGTGGAGTTATTTTCTGTGACTAAAAGTGCTCTGCAGTCCTTAAATAACCCATCACAATGTATGTCTGAAGTAGCTTGTAATATTAAATGGAATGTAATTCTTGCCAATGATAATAACTCTTGTATAAAATTTGTGTGGATCCCTTCCCATGTTGGAGTTGGAAAACATGATTTTGAAGATCGATTGGCCAATGAGGCTTGCAGGAAAGAAAACATTGATTATGACTTTGGACTATCTAAAGCAATTATTAGAAACATACAAATTAAAGAAATTAATTCAGATTTAGAAGAACTAAGAAATGCCCAGAGACCTGAAAGCTGCAGTATTAAAGTTATGACAAGTTTTGTAATACTAGGTATTTGTATGATCAGACCAGGCAATGTGATTGCCTGGTCTGATTACTGATAGCTTTTTAGTATATATAAACAAAATAAAAAGTGTAATTTTGTTTGGATCCTGGTTATATTCTGGAGTTCCATGTAATTAGATCCAAATACTGACAAGTTAACGTGTCTGATATAATTATATGGTTTTAGGTTAAGTTAAATTGTCCCTTAGGGAATCGTAGACATTACCACAAGTATGCTGTATGTAAATCTCGTCTCCTGCCTATGTGGAGTCAGCGAGGTATCGTAAGATCTATAACATAATAGATTTATAATATAACATAAAACTTAATTATTAAATGTTCTAAAAGTGAGACAACTGTATTATATTGAAGCCCTTGAACGGGCTAACAAAAATTGCCGTAGCCGACGCTTTTACACGCCGACCCAGCGTGTATTGGTTAAAGTTTTCAACTAGCAATAATCGCACCTCGGATGTACCTCATTGGTTACGATACTGCCACTGCGCAAAGCTAGCTAGTATTAGGGCTATGAACACCAGCCTCAGAGCACTGTGGACCACACTATTTCACATTTATTTATTTATTTATTTATATATTTATTTATATATATACAAGAAGGTACATTGGGTTTGTGAGAATACATTGGATAGTACAGTAATTACATTCTTGTAAAGCCACTAGTACGCGCAGCGTTTCGGGCAGGTCCTTAATCTAGCAGATAATTTTAAGTAGGTAATTTCAATCAGAATTGATAAATGAAAGATACATTACAAGAGAAAAATGAGATGAGAGAGATAAGTATGTATATTAAAGCACATTGTTATATTAAAGCTCTGATTGATTACATTGACAGCTTGATTAGTAACTTAAACAAGATTAATAGACACCATACAGCAGATTGACAGCACATATAAGACAGCAATGATCATAATGGTAAAGATGTTCAGAATGGGTACATAAAGATTGGGAGACTGGGTAGCAAAAGATACAGATAAACAAGATTTATAAACACCATACAATAGAATGGCAACACATATAAGAAAACAGCAATGATCTCACTGGTAAAGATGTTCAAATTGGGAACAAAAAGGTTGGGAGATTGGGTAGCAATAGATACGGTGCAATTTTAAGGCAAAAAGAGAAAAACTATGAAGATGAAATTAGATACTTTTTAGTATTAATTTTGAATGATGTAAAAGTTGGACAGCTTTTCAATTCAGTAGGGAGTGAGTTCCATAAACTGGGTCCCTTTATAATAATAATAATAATAATAATAATAATAATAATAATAATAATAATAATAATAATAATAATAATAATAATAATTTTTATTTAGGTAAAGGTACATACATAAAGAGATTTTACAAAGTTTGTTGGCTTTATAGATAGAGCTAGTACATACAATGCCTAAAGCCACTATTACGCAAAGCGTTTCGGGCAGGAAAAAACACTACTGACTAAAGCTTAAAACTAATGGGTAAAAATAATAAAATGTGTTGAGTACAAATAAAAATAGAGGTAAAAGAGGGGGGAACATTGTTTAAAAAGCAGCACAAATACAATTACAAATTATTACAGAAAATTACATTCAAACAGCGTTGAATTGAAAAAAAAAAAAAAAAAAAAAAAACATACATGGGTTGACAACAGAGGGGTAAGGTAGGTTACAGGGAATTTATTAGGTATAGCTTCGTTTTTAACTTAAACTGGTTGAGAGAGGTACAGTCTTTAACATGGTTGGGAAGGTCATTCCACATTCTGGGCCCCTTGATTTGTAGAGCATTTCTGGTTTGATTAAGTCGTACTCTAGGAATATCAAAACTGTATTTATTTCTGGTGTGGTGCTCATGGGTTCTGTTACAACCTTCTATGAAGCTTTTGAGATCAGGATTGGCATTATAGTTTAGCGTTTTATATATGTATAATACACATGAGAGAATGTGCAGTGACTTAATGTCTAACATATTCAGAGATTTGAGTAGGGGTACCGAGTGATGTCTGGGGCCAGCATTGGATATTGTCCTTATAATGTACTCTACGTTCATGTACTCTATGTTCATATATTTGCCATGTTGATTTTCATATAAATTCATTCTTATATTAATATTTACGATACTTTTTTCCTGTATTAATTATCATACATATGTTTAAATAAATTACTAGACACTTGTTGATGTCATGTAAACAATAATTGTTCTGCACGGTCTCCGCTCCTTGATCATTTCATGTAAAAAAAACGCGCAGAAGTTTGGAGGACTAACTTAAGAATCGTTTGAAATCATAATTTTTTAACTTTTACTTAATAATAATGTAGCGAGTAGATTATCCTAATAATATACTCGCTCCAAATGCATTGGCCTAATGAGAGAAGCAAAGCTCTTCTTAGTACTAGTTATGGAACTCAAACCTTTCAATACTTCCTGTTAATATTCCTGTCAACCTTTGGAGAATGGTGAGGTGTTGCCCGAGCATATATATATAAGCAGCAGAGTAGCGAATAATAACTTTACGGGCTCACCGTAGCCCGTGCTACATGGACACTTCGTCCTGAGTAGCTAAATCTGAAACAACAACAACGAATAATAACTACGGGAGACATCTTCCGTCACGCAGGGTGCAGTCGCACTTCCACAGATCTCCAGTATCAGCTCTTGATACTGGTAATGGCTCAAAATTGCCACCACTTATGGGCTATTCATGCCCGTCCCACCTTTTGGATGGCTTAATCTTTATCAATCAATCTATCGAATAATAGCTAGTCTACTTTCAAGTGTGGTCCATAACAGACACTTGCGAGATACTGTACTCTCAGTGCGCTCAATTAACTCACACCATTGCCCGCCAAAGTATCACCTGCGCACTTCTGTATACTCGACTAAATATATATATTCTCTTAGTGTTTGTGTTTATTGTCACCATCATTTACGAACAATAGAACCGTTACATTGATGACCCAGTGAGTGAAGAGAACACCTAGTCGCAAACTAAATCTTCGTCATGGATTTATCTACCAGGTTTCCAGCATACAACGCAGATGAACCAGAATTTTGGTTCGTGCAGATGGAGGTTATTTTCGACCTTCACGAAATTACGACTGAGAAAGCCCGATATGCGTGTACCCTGCCAACACTTTCCTCGGAGGCTATGCACACTGCCTCCGCTGTCATCACCGCACCATTACCAGACACCAGGACGTACACCGCATTGAAGGCCGCTTTTCTACAGGCAGGGATGAAATGCCGCATTCAACAAAGGGACCAACTGCTCACTGACAAAAGATTAGCAGAGAAAACACCAGCCCAGCTTCTGCAGCATATTCAGTATGTAATGCTTACTGAAACTGGTCCAGCCCCCAGCGAGATTGTGAGATCATTCTGGATACAACTCTGTCCAAAACACATTCAAGGGATCCTATTCAGTATGGCTGACGACACCCCATTAGCCCAGCTGGCTACACTAGCAGACCGGCTTCTTACGACGTCTGATAACGCTACGCTCTCCCACCTCAGTGATACACAGCGGACCACAGACACCCAACAACTCGACATCCTCCAAAACCGGCGTTTCTTCCGCGCAGGGAGGACGTACAATGCGAATCCAGTATCAGGATCTAGGCGACAGCGAAAACACCGAGGAGAGTTTTGTTCTTACCACCAGAGGTTCGGACACCAAGCCCACAACTGTAGGGCTCCTTGTTCCTATGTCTGTATGTGTTTTTGGCTGGCTCTCCCCAAAATGGCGGGCGATTGTATGAATTGATTGAGAGGCGATTGGGTCTCCCCAAAATGGCCAGACGTAAGAGCATTTTTGATGCTTCTTGTTTTATAGATACACGTGATAATCAATTGTTAGTGTATTGTAAACCTAGAATGTTATATTTATACTTAGAACTTCATGGTGGAAATTTAATATTATTCAGAGGATAAGTAAATAGTTACTCTATGATCAGCTGATCAAGCCAGGCGACGAGCCACAAGCCAGGCGACGAGCCACAAGCCAGACGACGAGCCACAAGCCAGGCCACGAGCCACAAGCCAGGCGACGAGCCACAAGCCAGACGACGAGCCACAAGCCAGGCGACGAGCCACAAGCCAGGCGACGAGCCACAAGCCAGGCCACGAGCCACAAGCCAGGCGACGAGCCACAAGCCAGGCCACGAGCCACAAGCCAGGCGACGAGCCACAAGCCAGGCGACGAGCCACAAGCCAGGCCACGAGCCACAAGCCAGGCGACGAGCCACAAGCCAGGCGACGAGCCACAAGCCAGGCGACCAGCCACAAGCCAGGCGACGAGCCACAAGCCAGGCGACGAGCCACAAGCCAGGCGACGAGCCACAAGCCAGGCGACGAGCCACAAGCCAGGCCACGAGCCACAAGCCAGGCGACGAGCCACAAGCCAGGCGACGAGCCACAAGCCAGGCGACGAGCCACAAGCCAGGCGACGAGCCACAAGCCAGGCCACGAGCCACAAGCCAGGCGACGAGCCACAAGCCAGGCCACGAGCCACAAGCCAGGCGACGAGCCACGATGGAACCATGAATGGGTACTCTTCTGTAGCAACTGTAGCGCGTACAAACAATATACTCACTACAATCTCTCATTAGCTTAATGGCATAACTAATTAGCACTAATTACAGAAACTACAATTCTTTTCCCCAATTACAGGTAACACTTTTCATCCTGTTGGAGAGAGGTGAGGTGTAGTCACCAAATATAAGCAAGCTTGTAGTGAATAGAGAACACGGGAGACATCTCCCGTCACGCAGGGTGCAGTCGCACCTCCACAGATCTCCAGTATCAGCTCTTGATACTGGTAATGGCTCAAAAGGGCCACCACTTACGGCCTATTCATGCCCGTGCCACCTTTTGGGTGGCTTAATCTTTATCAATCATCAATCAATCGAATAGAGAAGTGAAGCAACCAATGACCTTAGAAGAGCTTTAAGAGTTCCCGAATCATGCAGTGGCCACCCTGAAGCCATCAACACAGCCACTCTCCTGGTCAACAAAGGTGTTCAGCAGCTGGACACCCTCATAATGACTGTGAAGCAGTATCCTCCCCCGCGATAACAGCTTGATGGTTAAATGCAACCTCAGAATACTGAGAATTTTTTTTTTTTACCACTTACGGGCTATTCATGCCCGTGCCACCTCTTGGGTGGCATAATCTTAATCAATCAATCAATCGAATAGAGAACCCGCTCCTGTGCCAGGTAAGTTACGGGCTCACCATAGCCCGTGCTACTTGGAACTTGTTCCGAGTAGCTGAATCTATAACAACAATAACATGAATAGAGAAGAGAGGTCACGACCTCTCCGTAGGCTGTAGTCGCTCCTCCACAGATCTCCAGTATCAGCCCTTGATACTGGTAATGACTCTAAAGGGCCACCACTTACGGGCTATTCATGCCCGTGCCACCTTTTAGGTGGCTTAATCTTCATCAAACAATCGAATAGAGAACAGTACAATTTTCAGTCAAGAATGCATCACTCGGCGTATGCAGTTCTAATCGACCCCAAGACACTTCAGCTTCGTCACAGAACAGACAGCAGACAATTAGGGCCGCATCGAGCTACAACGTTCTCCCACATAGAGCTCCTTAACTCAGCCCTCACTCAGCTCTCTTCTCCATGCTCCGTCTCAACGTCTACGACACTGCTGTATCCAAGACTTCTAAATAAATATGAAAATCCACTAAATACTGTGTATCTACTCTACTCAACAACGTAACATAATCGTACGTTACATTGGTGACCCCAGAGAGTTCCGATGATACCCAGCCACGATGGACTACAACATGGTCTCTCACTGGACCTCTACTGCTGCTGCGTGCTGTGGACCGCTTCCACCTGTGATGGAACGCTTCCTACAACTTCGTCATAGCTATGATTTTCACCGCGATTATCTCTGCATGTTCATCTGCTACAGCTTGCTGCACCGCGATCGTTACTTACTCAGCTGACAGCTTCATCAGCAACTACATCATGTGGGATCTACAACCTGTCCTGCCGACTCTCCGTCTCTGCCAGGGCACTGCTTGTTCTACACGGACTCCCACGACAGCTGCTCTTTCGTCAGATTCATCTACATGTTCACTACATTCTGATACTCTGCCGACTCAAGCACCTTTTGCAGTCCAGTCCAGTCTTGAGCATTTCCCCCTCTTCATCCGTACTCCTGCCACGTGTCTGTTTCTCTCTCTCTTTCTGCCTGCCTCTTAAAAAATTTCAGGGCTATTATATTGGACTTCCTCTTTTATATAGCGCTGTGTACCTCTGACGTGGAAATCAGGGCAATGAAGATCGTAGCATTTCCTCTCATTAACTGAGAGTTTGCATAGCTTAGGGTGAAAATATCTACACTCTGTATCAAAACGACATCTGCCTTTCCTTAACCAGTTTCGACATTTCCGTGGGTGCATGAATGAGCATTCCGTGCTTATGGGCCCATATCTACACTGTCCTTTTGCATAATACCTGCAAATATTTTTAACTGTGATTGTATTATTCTTGTTTGTACCCGTGCACGACTTGGCTACCTCTGTGTTTTTTGTTCCAACTTTCTCGTTTCTGCATTCATTCTCGTTATTGCCCTTATCTTTCTCCTTGTTGCTTTCGTCTTTCTCATTTGTGTTCTCATTCGTCTCATTTTTTCTCTCCTTATTCATATCACCAGTTTGCTCTACAATATTGCCTTCATTTTTGTGTACTTCGACACTATACCCTTCTACATTGCTACTATGACTCTCTAAATTCTCAGTCCCTGGGTTGTGCTCAGAGTTCGTTGCTGTCTTTATATACTCTGCATATATTTCTGGTAGTTTTTGTGTGAATTGTAGCCTGTGTACTTCAGGAATGTTATTCATTAGTTTGGTAATGTTTTCCCACATCTGTCTGTCACTTGGACAGATCCAGTAGTTACCTTCCCGGTTTACATATTGTGTAGGTAATCCTGTACAATTCAGGTGAAATCTTATGTTACAAATGTTACATACAATGCCTACAATACTCCTCCCAAGTGGCTTAAAGCAGCCTCCACACACCTCCATGTTGGGTTTGTGATGTTATAATATTATATGCATATATTTATAATATTATATGTATGTATATATAATATGTATAGAGTATATTTATAATATTACATATGTTTATTTGTTCAAGTTTATGTGGGGGTACTTATCGCCTTGTGGAGAAAATATGGTCCTCTTGGGGACCATCTAGTTGACCGTTGTTTGTCTCAGGTCGGGGGCAGGATGCCACCGGTTGCCAGTTACTTGATTTATACACTGATTATTTGCCTGTAATATCCTAAGGGAATTTCTACTTTCTTCCGGCTTGCAATGTTATTCACTTACTCTATTACTAGTTCCTAGATCCACTTTCCGGTATTACAGTATATATTGCCAGTATATTATCACTGAGGGAGTATACTGTTACCGCGGGACGTCCTCTACACTGTGTAGGCCTCGTGGCTGTGGTGTAAACAGCCTAGTGTGATGCCTCCTCCACAACTTTACATTTATAGTTTTTCTGTGTACAATTCTCTACGACTATCCACTAATTTATATGTTGTGTTACACGTTCCACTTCACCGTTCAACGTATCACTGCTCGCTATATATGATATATATCGCTTATGCCTGTACACATGAGCCTGCACCCAGCAAACATTTTCACGTTTTTAAAACTTCCTAAAAACGACATTTCATTGTTTTCAGCACGTTTATAATTACGTTTAGAAAAGGTTTTTTGAGAACTTTTATATACGACCTTAGAACGTAAATAATTAACATTTCTAAAAACTTTTTTATAATCTTTTAATTACCTACATTAAAACGTTTAGGGTAAATTAGGGTATAATATTTTTTTAATTCATATCTGAAATAGAAAGGGAGAGAAAGAAAGAAGACATATCTGAGAAAGAAATGGACTTCCTTTATATGTGTAAATTACAAATAAATAGGGTACAAAAGAGAATTAAAATAATATATTTATTTAATTA